GGATGGGTGAGGGCCGGGAGATGTTGAGGGTGAGGGGAGGAAGGCGAGGAGCAGCCGTGGGAGATGAGGAGGGAGGTGAGGAAGGCAAAGGGAGGAGATGGAGGTGGAGCAGGAAAAGAGGAAGAAGAAGGGGAGAAAACAGGAGAGGGACGGGAAGGAGGGACAGGAGAGGGACGGAGCAGGGAGAGATGGAGCAGGGAGGATGGATGATGGATGATAGAGGATGGAGCAGGGAGGATGGATGATGGATGATAGAGGATGGAGCAGGGAGGATGGATGATGGAGAATGGAATAGGGACGATGGAGCAGGGAGGGGAGGGCAGACAGGAGAGACAGGACAGCCGAGGGCCGGTGCGGATGCACCCAGAGGTGGAAGAAGGACAGAAGCGAGGAGCAGCAGAGGGGACAGAGACGGGGTGACAGCCCCGGGGGGACGGCGGGGGGACACCGACCGCTCTTCCAGTCGCCGTGGCACATCTTCAGGTCGCGGCAGGTGCGGGCGGGGTTCTTGCGGGTGCCCTCGGGGCTGCGGATGTTCTCGATCTGCTGGCTCAGGCTCTTGAGGGTGGTGTCCACCTCCAGGTCGCGGTCCCGCATCACGTTGGCGTCGTCGGCCCGGTAGTAGCGGCCGCCGTCGTGCGCCTTCTCCTGGGGCGGCTGCGGCAGGAAGCTGAAGTCGAAGCCGCCGCTCGGGGGGCCGGGAGGACCGGGGGGCCCGGGGGGCCCGGGGGGACCCTGCGGGGAGAGAGGAGGAGGAGGATGGTGACGGAGGAGCGGGCGCTGAAGGCGGGCGGCTCGCGGGGGGCGGACGGCTCGGGACGTACGACGGGACCGACGTCTCCGGTGCGGCCGCGGGGGCCGGGGGGGCCGATGGGGCCGGGCAGCCCGTTCAGACCGTCCTTGCCGGCGGCACCGGCGGAGCCGGGGGGACCCTGCGGGACGGGAGAGAAGCGTGAGCGCGGCCGAGCGGCCCCGGCGGAGCCTCCCGAGCCAAGACCCCGCGGGGGTCCCGAAGGCGGCGGGGACCCCACGCTCCCCCCGCGGCGCGGATGTCGCGGCTCGTCCCGGGACTCACTCGGGGACCGGCGGGACCAGAAGCACCGGAAGGACCTTGTTCGCCAGGAGAGCCCTGCGACAGTCGAGGAGGAAGAAGAGGCGACATCAGAGGTGGCATCAGCAGCTGGTGCCGCCCCCAGGACGGGCGGGCGGCAGCGCCCGGGGCCACCGGCGCCCCGCGGGACTTACGGGAGGACCGGGTGGGCCCTGGAGACCGGAGAAGCCTCTGTGACCCTTCATGCCTCTGTCACCCTGTTCACCGGTTTCACCTTTGTCACCACGGGGACCTTGGGGACCCTGCAGGAGGAGGAGGAGGAGGAGGAGGAAGATGAGCTGAGCGGGATCCTGGCCAGTGACTGTCCCCAGGCCTGTGGTGGGGACAGAGGCGCCGAGGAGGACACAGCAGAACGTCACTTACAGCAGGACCACGAGCACCAGCAGGACCAGGGGGGCCAGCGGGACCTTGGGGACCCTGGCACAGGAGAGAAGGGGACAGGTTAGAGCATCCTGCACCTCCTGCTGCTGCTGGCTTGGGGCAGAACCACCCTGGGGCGCTCAGGGACCCCCGAGCGGGGTGGTGGCACCTCCGAGACCTCCCTTTACAGGGTGGTGGCACCTCCGAGACCTCCCTTTGCAGGGTGCTGGCACCTCTGCCTTGCTGGGGAAGCTCCTTCAGCAGCAGGAGCTGAGCCCGGGCCAGGCCCCAGAACCAGAACCGGCTCCTTCCCGGTGTCCCCGGGCCGGGCCGGGGGGCGCAAGGGGGGCTCTGGGCCGAGCGTCACTTACGGTCTCACCACGGTCTCCGTTCTTGCCAGCAGGACCGACGGGGCCGGGGGCACCGGGGGCACCGGGAGCACCAGGGGGGCCGGCGGGGCCGGTCTCACCGCGATCGCCCTGCGAGGAGGAGCAGGAGGAGCAGGAGGAGCAGGAGGAGCAGGAGGAGGAGGAGGAGGAGGAAGAGGAGAGGTCAGTGCGGGCCAGCACAGCCCCTCGCCCCTCCCGCGCCCCCTCAGAGCCCGCTCACCTTGGGACCGGCGGCGCCGTCACGGCCGGGAGCACCTTCAGCACCGGGAGCGCCCTGCGGGAGCAGAGACCCTCGTCAGGGGTGGGGGGCACGGCGGGGGTCCCACAGCCCCCCACGGGGGGTCCCACAGCCCCCACGGGGGGTCCCACAGCCCCCCACGGGGGGTCCGTGCCCCCAGCCCCGATGGCGCCGCAGGCTCACCTCGCGTCCGGCTTCTCCGGGGGGTCCGGCCAGGCCGGGGGGGCCCATGGGGCCGGGCGGGCCGCGCTCGCCGGGGGAACCGGAGGGGCCTTGCTTGCCGGGTTCACCCTGCGGGGGGACACAGCGGGGGCTCGGGCACCGTGGGACAGCCACCCGCGGGGGTGGCCGAGCCCTCGGTTACCGGGAGCCCCCCGGTACTCACGGAGGGGCCGGGCAGCCCGGGGAAGCCTCGCTCGCCTCTCTGACCGGGGAGACCGACGACACCGCGCTGGCCGGCGATACCTTGGGGTCCGGGGGTACCGGGAGCGCCCTGCGGGGACAACCGGCGGCTCAGCGGGGGCGGCGGCGGCCGCCACCCTCGCCGCGGAGGGGACAGGCGGGGACGGGCAGAGGGGTGCGGGCAGCGGGGCACTCACGATGGGGCCGTCAGCGCCGGGGGCTCCCTTCTCGCCGGGGGGACCGGGGGGACCGGCGGGGCCCGGCTCGCCGGGGCGGCCGGCGGGGCCGGTCTCACCGCGGGGTCCTTTGCCGCCTTCCTTCCCGCTGGGGCCGGGCGGGCCGGGGAGGCCGATGTTGCCCTGAGCGGGGCGGGGGGGGCGATGCCGTCAGGCCGGGACCCCCCCGCTGGCGGCGGAGGGCGGCCGGGGCTGTCCCGGTGCCAACCGGGACAGGGCGGCCACGTGCAGCACCGGGACGGTGCCCAGAGCCTCCTGTGCCGTGTCCCAGCATCTCTTGTCCCGTGTCCCCAGTGCCCACCTCAGTGTCCCAGAGCCTCCTGTCCCATGTCCCCAGTATCTCCAGTCCTGTGTTCCCAGCATCTCCTGTCCCGTGTCCCCAGTGCCTCCTGTCCTGTGTCCCCAGCACCCCCACTCCGTGTCCCCATCACCAACCCCCAAATGCCCCCAGGGGTACTCACAGAGGGGCCGGGGGGTCCAACTCTTCCAGCAGCACCGGGGAAACCAGTAGCACCCTGCGGGGGAGGAGAGGGCATCAGTGGGGCAGGACCGGGGCTCCGGGGACGATCCCCTCCCTGCCTGGGACCACGCAGGGAGTCCCGGGCTGGTGGCCAGGAGGAAAGCGCCCGCCTGGGGGGCTGATTTGGGGGTGTAAAGGCAACCCCCCCTTTCCCTCTGCTCTGTCCCACTCCATCCCCAGGCAGGTTTGGGGGCGCAGGGCCGGCGGTGCCCCACGGCGTGGGGGGAGCAGAGGAAGGGTTAAAGCCCCTCGGGGTTGTTCCCACGCAGGGGCGCCCCCAAAGTGCCCCAAGCGCCCCTTCCCCACCAAAGCGCTACTTACAGGGGGTCCAGCGCTGCCTCGAGCACCTTTGGGACCGGGAGCACCAACAGCACCCTGGGCGGGAGGAAGAGGAGGAAGAGGAGGAGGAGAAGGGTGAGCCGCGCCGCGGGGCTGCAGCCCGGGCAGCGGGGCGGCCGAGGGGGGCACTTACAGCAGGTCCGGGAGCACCAGTGGGGCCGGCGGGGCCGGGGGGACCGGCGTCGCCCTTGGCTCCAGCATCCCCAGTTTCACCTTTAGCACCAGGCTGGCCGTCAGCACCCTGCGGGACAGGCCCGGCGTCAGCCCGGGGGGCTCGGAGCCACCCTGGGGGGCGGCAGGGGACCCCCGGGCCGGGGGGAGCGGCCCGTGGCACTTACGGGGGGGCCAGCAAATCCAGCAGGACCGGGAGGGCCGGGCTCGCCGCGGTCACCCTGCGGAGGAGAGGTGGGAGGGGGCGGCGTGAGACGAGCGGGGGACGGCCACCGTGGCCACCAAGGAGCGGTGGCAGAGCCACCGTGGCCACCAAGGAGCGGTGGCAGGGCCAGCGCCGAGGGTGGGGGACGCTTACGGGAGCACCACGGGCGCCGGTGGGACCGGCGGGGCCGGGGGGACCGGCTTCACCCTGGAAAACGGGAGGAAAAGAGAAAAGAAGGGGTCAGGGCTGAGGCGCGGAGGTGGCGGTGAGCGCCCGGACGCGGCTGTCCCCGCGGGATGTCCCCACCTTGTCACCGGGAGCACCAGCAGGGCCGGGGGGGCCGATGGGGCCGGTCAGGCCTCGGAGACCGTCCTTGCCAGGAGCGCCATCAGCACCTTTGGGACCGGGGTCACCCTGCGGGGGGACACGAGGGTGGGTTACGGGGACAGGTCCCTTGGGGGGTGCACTGAGACATCCCCGGGACGGGCGGGGACCATCCTCCTCCTCCTCCTCCTCCTCCTCCTCCTCCTCCTCCTCCTCCTCGCAAGGGCTGGGCTCTCAGCGAGGGATTGTCCCCAAGGGATGGGACAGGGGTGACACAGAGCATCCCCTGCCCAGCACCCTGCAGCCCGCCGGGCGAGGCTGGGGGCACACCCAGCCCCGAGGGGGCACACCCAGCCCCGAGGGGGCACACCCAGCCCCGAGGGGGCACAAGGACGGTGGCAGCAGGGTGCCAAGGGGGACAGCAGGGGTCTGGGGACACGAGGGGTGCGGGGACACGCACTCTGTCACCCTTGGCGCCTGGCAGGCCGGCAGCACCGCGTTCTCCGGGCATGCCCTGCAGACCGGGGGGGCCCTGGCTCCCGGGGGCTCCGGGGGCACCAGCGTCGCCCTGGCAGGAAGAACGGGGATTAGTGAGATCCCGGCACAGCGAACCCGCCCCGGCCTCAGCCCAGCCTCAGGGCTGAGGCCAAACCCGTCCCCCTCACAAGGGGGGCGCGGTGCCCCCCACGCCCAGCCCGGCACCCACCTTAGCACCATCGTTACCGGGAGCACCGTTAGCACCGCGAGGACCTTGGGGACCGGGGGGGCCTTGGACGCCGCGTTCTCCAGGGAATCCTCTCTCGCCCTGGGGAGGTGGGGCAGGCCCCGAGCCCGTCAGGGCCTGGGGGCGCTTTGGGGTGCCCGGAGTTGAGGGGAGACTGGGGGGGTTCGGCTTACCCTGGCACCGGCGGGACCGGGGGCTCCGGCGTCTCCGGGGACACCCTGGGCGGGAGGAGAGGGTGACGAGTCAGAGGGGAACGGGTGGCACCGGGGATGGGCAGAGGGCACCCCGGGGTGCCCCCGGGGGTCCCTCATTCCCTGGGCAGGGCTGGGGCTCCACTGTTCTCCCCCTGCGTACAGCACCTGGGGGTGCCCTGGGGGGACCCCAGCAGCAGCGGCAGCCCCCGGGGTGACCGGGAGAGGGGACAGGAGGGTCCCCAGTGCCCACACTCACCTGCTCACCGGGCTTGCCAGCCTCGCCAGGGGGGCCAGCGGGGCCGGGCAGACCCTGGGCAGGAAGAAGAGGAGCCGTGAGCCACCCCGGAGGGGACAAGGGCAATGTCACCCACGCTCTGGGTGCTTCGTCCCCTGCCGGGGGAGGCGACACTCCTCACCTGGAAGCCAGGAGCACCGGCGGGACCTTGTTCACCTCTTTCTCCAGCGGGACCCTGGGGGACACAGGACAGCCATGGAGGGGGGCAGGTGGCTCCCGAGGCCCCTGGCCGGTGGCCAGGCGTGGTCCTGGGTGGCCGCGGGCCGGGGGATACTCACGGTGGGGCCGGGGGGACCTTGGGCACCGGTTTCACCGTCTTTGCCAGCGGGGCCCTGGGGAGGAGGGAGAGGAGGGTGCTCAGGGCAGCCCCCGCAGGGCTCCGTGCCCGGAGGGTGCTCGGGGCCGCCCCCGCAGGGCTCCGTGCCCGCCCCGAGCCGGGCGTGGGCCTGGACGCGGCCGCGGGATCCTTCGAAGGCCGGGAGACACCGCGGCGAGCTGCCCGCGGCCGCGTCACCGCCGCTGTCCCCGCTCCAGCGCCGCCGGTAGCCGCCGGGACGGGATCCCAAACACCTCATCCCGCTGCGGCCCCGGGCCAGGAGCCTTCCCCGGCTGCCTCAGCCCCGTTCGCGCTGCATTCCCAGCCGGTCTAACCCCATTCCCACCGGATCTAACCCCATTGCCAGCCGATCTCACCCCATTCCCACCGGATCTAACCCCATTGCCAGCCGATCTCACCCCATTCCCACCCCATTCCCAGCCGGTCTAACCCCATTCCCACCGGATCTAACCCCATTCCCAGCCGATCTCACCCCATTCCCACCTCATTCCCACCCATCCTGCTGGCCCTCCGTGTCACCCCACGCTGGGGTGACGCTCCCTGTCACCCTCCGGGTCACCCCACAGCACTCTGACCCTCTCTGCCGCCTCCCACCGGGGTCACCCTCCCCTGTCACCCCCAGGGCCGCCCGTGCCCCACCCCACACTCACCACGGCGCCGGGGGGACCGGGAGCTCCTCTCTCGCCAGGTTTGCCGGGTTCGCCCTAGAACCGGAGCGGGATGAGCCCGAGGGGCACCGGGGGCGCGGGGCTGGTCCCGGGGCGTCCCTCGGGCACACGCGGGGGGCGGCAGCGGCGCCGGGGGTGGCACTCACCGCAGCACCCTTGGGACCGGGGAATCCCATCACGCCGGCCTGGCCTCGGGCTCCGGGGGGGCCGGGGGGGCCGGGCCGCCCGTCTTGACCGGCGGGACCCTGTCGGGGGCAGGCAGCGCCTCGTCAGCCGGGCCCGCGGCGAGCCGGGGGACGAGGGGACACGGCGGGGACAACTTACAGGGGGGCCGGTCTTGCCGTCCGGACCGGGGCTCCCGGGGCTTCCAGTCAGACCCTGCGGGGCAGCGGGAGGGGGTCAGGAGCTCAGCGCTCCCAGGGGTGCTCCGGGGAACGGGAGCGTCCTGGAACGCGGCTCCTCCGCCGGCACGGGGCAGCCATGCGGCTCCGTGTCACCGTGTCACCGTGCCACCGTGTCACCGTGTCACCGTGCCACCGCTCACCTTGGCACCGGGGAGACCGGGTTCCCCGGGGCGTCCAGCTTCACCAGGAGATCCTTTGGGGCCAACGGGGCCGGGGGAGCCGCGCTCGCCGGGGGGACCCTGGGGAGGGGGGACAGGGGTGATGCAGCTGCAGGACGGCACCGGGACACCGGCACGGAGCCGTGTCCCCGCCGAGTGGGCACAGGAGACAGCGGCCAGAGCGGCCAGGCCCCGCTGACGCGGCTTTGTCCCGCAGACGGACGCGGGCACCCACCTTGGGACCGGCGATGCCATCGGCGCCAGGGAAGCCGCGGCTGCCAGGAGCGCCCTGAGGGGGACACGGCAGGGTCGGTGTGGGGACACGAGG